TGTGTAGAAAAACCGGGAAAATGTACGAAATGTGTTGTTATTTTAAATTTTTTTTGTCGTAATTCGGTTAATTGTATTCGTAGACTTGAAATTTGTACAGAAAACTTATATTTGCTTTACTAGACGTGGTAAAATTTTCAAAACATTTTATCCGTGTTTGAGGCATGTTTACAAACATTTTGATTTAAGGAGTTGTCCGGGTAATTTTTATTCGAAAGGTACCTGTGGATAAGATTGTTAGACGACACAGAAATGCTTGAAAATTCAACAAGAGGTTCATTAAAAATCGCACTTTGTGGTCGACCGAAAAAAATATCGTAGATATTACGGCCTTTCAAAACCCGTATAACCGGACTCCACTCGGAATCCTTTTCCGTTAGCATTCACTATTTGTTGCGTACTTCTAGGAAAAACGTAAGCGAAAAATAATCTCATATTATATCGTTTCTCGAATGCGTTTTTAGTAAACCTCGCCCATTTTTCTCCCATACATACGATTTGAGTAGAACCCGGAATTTGCGAAAAATAGATTGTTATCGATTCGTATTTTCATAGCGACTAAGACATTTGTCCACGCGTTCAACAACCGTTTTGAAGCGAAGAACAACCTAAATTTAACCCGGTTACCGGGGTTTACAAAACGAAGTAATATCGACGATTTCGGTTATCATAACCAGTGGCGTAGCGAACCGTCGTTTTCAGAATTATCTTAAAAAACTATGTGAATTTTAAAGGGCGGGTAGTTGGTTTTTTGTGAAATTTGCATGATTGGGAGGAGCATTTTGCTTAAGGTAAACGTAGCTATTATAACGGCTATAGGTATCGTACAAATTGCAAGATTGGAGTGGACGGTAGACGTAAAAAAAATGATTTGCTTCAATATTATTTAAAGTTCGCAACTGAACATGACCCCAAAAAAACAAAAAAAGTGATCGTGACGACGGCGTTTCGGTATTGATAAAATAATGATTATCGGTGCTGGACCGGTACTTAGTTTTGAATCAACGGTTCTAACCGCCTCAAACACGGTCGTATACAGTACGGCAAGAACAAAGGCGAGCCGTAAGAATTAAAATGCTCACAAGAAATCAATGTAATTATTGCTTACAATTATTATCTATTATCGTTATTATTTTTTAATAACCGTATTATTAAAAACATGCGGTTATCGCGTATCGATAACCGTCGACCGAAATCGTACGACCCGTGGGGGGGAAAGGAGGACAATTCTTGAAACCAATCGGTACATTCAACGAACGCGGTAAAACGAAAAGACTCATCGAATGTCGAATGTAATCCAGACCATTATTACATTCGAACGAGGCTCGGTAAAACGTCATCGTTTTGTCGAGTTACGTTGAAACACGTTTCGTTACAATAGAATTAATTGTAAAAACCATCGCCGATAAATAATAATTTGCGATAACGATAAACCGACGATAACTTGGTCAATCGCTGAAAAATATTTAGAAATAAAAAAAAAGGCCCAAGCGATATGGGAGATGATGGTTACTGACCCTATTAAACACCATTATCCGACACTAAAAAATATATATATATATATTTTTTTTAAATGCGTAGAATTTATTTGAAAAAACCTACTCGCGTCGATCATTTGCGTAGTGCTGGAACATTGTGTTGACCAGAGCCGTTAGAGAGAAAGAGGGGCCGGGACATTTATACCCGTCTACCGTTTTTGTTTTATAAGTGATTCATCGGGGGGAGGGGAAGCGTGTGTATAAATCCGTTGCCCACTCCGGAGAACGGAAAAACACTGACTCATCAAAACCGATACGATCGACGACAAATAAAATTACGTCGTCACCGGTTTTCGCGCAGCGGCACACCGACAAAAAAAAAATCGACGGTTTTTACAAGAATTGCCCTCCCACCACCACCCGCTAATCGTAGTCAACAGCCAAGACGCACGACTATTGTTACTCCCGGACGAGCGAACCGAGCGCGGCCGCGACGACGTTCGGGTGCACGGGAAATGGACTTTTGAACGGCGGCGGCACGGAATTTATACCGGCCCGACTAGAAATCGGAGTAAATAATAATAATAATAATAATAATAAAAAAAACCGCATGTAGAAAAACACGCCAGACGATTAACAATCGATAACAGCAAATGCCGTCTCGATAACAAAACGGTCGGTAAGTAGGTACACAGACTGTGGCCGGTAGGCGCAGCACAACAATTATTATAGTCGAAAACAAAAACGGAAAAAAATAATAATAATAATAATAACCGACACGATGACTCACGCGGCGGCGTGACTAACGAGTTAAATTTAAAACCGATGCGGCCGGGTTCGTCGAAGATTAACGGCGGCGGACGAGTCGAGTTGTTGTCGCGGCCGTGTAAGAGTCGACCATTAGAAAAAAAAATAAAAATATTCGAAAGTACCCGCGCGCGATATTTCAGTAATGTATTCCAGCGGTGCAGGGCAGTCGGTTGAAAATCTGGTTTCGGTTATGGGTTGTTTTTTTTTTTATTATTATTTCGTCGTTCGGAACGCAACGGCAGAGAACTCGGTCGAAAATATTATCGAATCTGGTTTAATTTTTTTTTTTTTTTTACATTTATAATCGACCACTTCCCTCGCCATTCCGCAGCCCCCCACCCACAACCATGCCGTCGCCAAAAGAGAGGCGAAAACGTTGCGTTCCCGGACGAAACAACAACGATATTATCCGTCTCCGTCCGGCGCGCGGAGGCCCAACCGTCGTCGCACAGCTGTAAATCAAGACGGCGGCAAAGCGCGTCCCGGCGACGGTATGACCTCCAGACGGGACGGGCCGGACACGGCGGTGCTCCGCTGCCCGCTGCCCACAGACCGGCAGCGCGGACGCGCGTGCGCCTGCGCGAAGCCGACCGCAGACGGCCGCCTCGCACGTCTGTCGCGCGCGGTACGTGTTCGCCGCCGCTTAGCCGGCCGGCCGGCCGGCCGGCGACCACGGGGCGGCCTTCCACACACGAGGTGCCGGTCGAATTTTTTTTGTATTGTCCGTAGCGCGCCGCCGCCCTTCTGCCGATACCTACGGACAAAACGTAAGAAAAGACGGTGGAAACCCGCGCCGGCACTACTAACCGTAGCGGCGACGGACGGGCGTACCAACGCGCGTGGTGCCCGCGGTCCGCGTCGCCGTCGTTTTGACAGCAGCTGTAGCGACGAAACCGGTTGCCGGCGACAATAAGGGGAGGACGAAGCGGCAGCAGCAGCTGGCCCAACAGCTGGATGCCGGCGACCATCTGCTGCGCGCCGGTTTTTTCTTTTCAAGTTTTTTTTTTTTTTCCATCCTCTCGTTTAGTCGGAAACGCGCACGGGAATCGAATAGCGACGGCAATAACAACATAAACACAGAGCACAAGTAGGACGAGAAATTAATAACACATTCGAAAACAATCAAACGCGGCGCGCTGTTTCACGACGGCCGTCATCGTTACGTCGTGTCGCCGCATACAAATAATTACAATTAAAATTATTACAAAACCGAAACGCCGACGACGCGAATTATATTAACACATATTATTATTGTTGTTGTTTTTTTTTTTGTTTTGATTGTTTGGTAAGACGATTGAAAATATACGGACTATCGGTTATATACCGGCGTATACATAGAAGAACGCGTACCAACTTATCACGCCTCCGCCGCGTTATAATTATTATTATATAACACAATAACAATAATAACAGGACGGCGGAAAAAACAGCGTGCGGTATGTAGGTTATCGTGTTTGATTAGGGAGAAAAAACAAATAGCAATAAACAAACAGGTAATGGTTTTTTCGTCGTTATCGATAAAAATAAAAATTACACCGCATCAACAGCTGACGGACGTTTAGAACGCCGGCCAGCGCCGCGCGAGCACGTTAATGTTATTTGACGCGGGAGATGACTGGGGAATTTTCCAAAAAAAACAACTCACCTGCAATAGTTCAGGTCCTCGTGGTCGTAATGCTGCAAATCGTCGAACCGGTCTTCCGACCTGATCGTTATGGCCGTGTCCATGGTGTCGTAGTCGTCCGAACCGGCGGGAATAAAAACCGCCACCGCAGGTACCGGATTCGCGGACGGTCGGGCGTCGGCGGCGAGAGTGGCGTTCGCCTCTTGGTTTCCGGGCGCTACGAGGCCCGCGTCGAACGATTCTTCTCCCGTTTTCGCGGGGAGGTGCTCTCTCGGCGGCGCGAGAAATGCGACTACGGCGACGAAAGACGGGGAGAGAAAAAAAAAAAAACAATATACGAGACGCGGTACGATTATTTTTTTCCGACGTTACGTTTTTTCCACGGCAGAGCGCACGCGGACCGCGGAAAAAAGCGCGCGACGGATTCGGTATACGCCGTCGGCCCGCACGCGGGGTTGATCGGCTTTCGGCGACGGATTGCCCGAACAGCGGAGAGGACGAGAGAAAAAAAAAATGGCGCGCGCGTAACCGATGCACGTACGTACACCAACACAATGAACTGCGTTATGGCGGGAAACAGCTGTGCCGCCGTACAACGATGCCGCCGCCCAACCGGAGTGTGCGCGTATTCGTACGCCGCGCACGCGGCCACCATGTTTTTTCCCAAGTTTTTCCCGGCCCGGGATCGGCCGCACCGGTTTTCCCGTGGTAAAACGTACGCCGAGCCTCGCCGTCCGGTCGCCGGCCGTCAAAAACGCCGAAAACACCGGAAAATCGCCTTTCCGAGATGGTTACTGCTCTCGTCCGGACGCCGTGCCGTACGCCGGGCACGGCGGGGAGCGGTGGCGCACAGCAGCGCTGCGCGCCGGCGGCGGCCATGGAACGCGACGGCGGCGTCGTCGTCCACCAGGGAGCGGCGGCGCGCACCGCAGACGTCGGTCGACGGCGTGAATCATTCGGCCGGCCGGCCGGCCGTGAAAACGCAGAAAACACAATAATAAATAACAATAATACACGCAGCGTTGCTGTTAGGTATTGTTCCGCGCGCCCGTCCCCGCCCCGCCAACCTGGCGGGCCGAAGGAAATGCCTTTTCGATAATATTATTATTATTATTATAATAATAATAATAATTACGGTCGGGCCGCAACGAAAAAACTCTGTTCCGGGACTTATCGGAATTCCGGCGAAATCAATTAGTGTCCCGACGAAAGGCGAGCCCGGAGCGGGAAATAAGTAAAAAAACAATAGCGATCTCGTAAAAACCGAGGAATTCGAGAAACACAAACGTACCCAATTGCCCCAGTTGCTTTTCGCGGAATCGACAACGGGTTTTCGTCCGGCAATCGATAACGACGTCGAGCCGTTTCCGACGCGATTTTTTTTTTTTAACCTACACGATATCTATGGGGTTTTCAGGCAATTGAAAATTGTCCGTTATAACTGTCCGGTGTTCGGGATCTCGACGAAATTTCATGAATAAAAAAAAAAAAAAAGCGTCTTATATATGTAAATACTCGCCGCGTAACTGTTTCTATTGAAATCTAGTATTTGTTTATCTTCACGCTGTTTTCACGATTTTTAGTCTGAGCGTGAACACGATCAATTGTTTGTTTTGTTAACTCCGTCGAAAACAATTTCGACATATTTTCCCCTATACACGCGCTCAGAGCTTTTTTGGCGACAACAGTTATTGGATATAAACGCGTATCCACCACTATCAAAACGATACAATTTATTGTTCTAGTTGTTTTCATTTTCGATTACCTAAACTCGCAGCACCGACATTTTAAAGCTCTTCATACTGCAAAAATATAATGCCGAAAAAAATCATAAGAGCACATCGTACAAGTAGTTTAAAATCAACATATTAAGTAGGTATCTATGTATTTATATTGCATACTGTATATTTGATTATAAAAGGTGATTTTTGGGTACGTGTTATTGCTTAATTCATTATAATAATATTATTAATAAGATAATCATTACAATAAAAATATCTAATGGGCATTCTTATAGAACGAGTACCTATTAACAATATGTACGTGTAAAAGAAAAAGGCCAAAGTGATGATGTGGGAAGGGTCTACTTAACCTGTACCCTTCCCACCTTGATTGCCATTATTTACCAATTTATTATGTATAATTATTACATGTAATTGAAATAGTTACCTAATACATGAGATTAACAGAAAAAAAAGTACATAAATACTAACTAAAAAAAAAAAAAAAAAAAAGGAATACAATAATACGGCAATAAGTACAATTAATTCATTAAAACAAGTTATCTATTAAATGTATAATAAATATATGAAACGCGGTTAGTAAAGCAATTTTTCTAGAGTAACAATACGCTTAATATATAAAATAAAGTATTATAACTAATTAATAATCCTATAACATAGGTACTTACAATAAATAACTTTAAAATCTATGAATTAAAAGTTCTTTGTCATTTGAATAATTATAAATGTGCCAGTAACTATAGCTAGTTTTAAAAATATACTATTGTTAGTGTTTTTATAACTCTTGAAAAATGATCAACAATCGAATAGAATTTTAATTTAATTATTCGTAACAAGGGTATTTCATTTTTCTAAAAAATAATAATTTCATTTTTAACAGATTCTAAAAATGCTATTTGAGCAATAATGATTCCATTTATTAGTCTGGTTTCTATATTGTACAATTATCCAAACTACCTAAGTAACGCATTTAGGTATTGTTTAAGTTTTTAATTATTAACATAGTAGCACAGCCAGGGAGAGGGGATTAATTGGAGGTTATAATCCTCCATCCCCCTCAAAATAAGAGGTTTTTTTAAGAATTCTATGTAAATAACCTAGTTATATAATTTTTATTGCAAATTTTATTGTAATTTTAAATACTTATAATGACACTTATTTAGTAATTTATTAACTCAGAAACTTGTTGGGAATTCATAACCCGCACCAAGAAAAATTAATCCTGGTTGCGTTACTAAATAAAAATATTAATTAATTTGACCTAAAATCATTACTAGATGATGGTGTCCCATTAATGGGATAAATTATCATTCCCGTAATAGCTTAATTTATAATTGCGAGCCTATAATTGTATATTATTTAATACAAAGAGCTCTGAGCTCTAGTTGCAGCATTAAAAAAGTTAATTTCTAAAGCTTTAGGTATGCTCTTAAATATCCCCAAAAAAGTACTATAAGTAAAACTAAAAATATAATAAAATATACAAAATAATATTATCAAAAAAAAATCTGTGAAAAAAGGAAACGTGATATTCATATTTGGACAGGTTTTTTTTTTTTTTTTTTAGATAGCTTTATAATAATTCTTTGGCTTTTTTTCTACAATATGTGTTTACCTAAGATAAAATATGCCCACGAATAGTAAATATGCAAAATTAATTTTGACATAAGTTTATATGAATTAAATTTTTCTTATTGAGAAAGCTCTATGATTCGCTGATTTGCCTAAGAGAATATTATGTAAATGTTCTGAGCTCTACCTACTAATAAATAAGTACATAAGTAAATGATATAAGATAAGTTTAGAGATATTTTTTTCTTTTAATTTTGTTTTTTAACTGTTGTATAAGATCGTATATTTTTAAAGAAGGCCCAACTTTATTACCAGTCATATGAATAATTTCTTCTTTGGTGAGATTCAGCAGTTTTTTGCCATCTATGTTCTAAAAGAAAAATGTTTATTAATTAGATCAATACAAAATACAACCAGACATCATTATAAATATAAAAATGATTTACTTGACTTAAAAAAACACTACGGTATGTAGCACATTGATTTATAAGTAAAAACTCTGACACGTCTTTTTCATTCCATGTATTCGGATCTTGCTCCAAAAATGGTTGATTTGACTCTTGTAAGTTTTTAATACTTTGTGCATTCTGAAAATATAAAAATATATAAAATAAATATAATTTTCCAATATTAAAAGGTTTTTATTTAAGCTATTCCAAAAATAATTCCATTAGATATAAATATATTTCGGTCCACATAATTAACAAAAATATTTAATACCAATAATAAAATTTCCATTAAAAAAATAACAAATAACTGAATAATCTAGAAACCATATTATGTATGATTACTAATATTTATTTACATAAGTCTAAACTTTGAAAATTATATAAACAAGTATTATTATCTATTTAATTTAAAAACTAATTTTTCCCTTCTCAAACATGTGCTATTTTCGTATAAATATTTTCTCAAATTAATTATTCATGGTATTGCTGTTTTTATTTTTCAAAACATTTAAATCAAATATGAATAGATGATAGTAAACAATTAGTTCATTCGGTTTTTAGGTTAATACAAAATTTGAACTGTCTATTTTTTGCATATGCAGTTAGTAAAATACATTTTGTTTTTATTTTCCTTTCAATTGGTCATCATAACCATTCATATAATATAAATTATAAGAACATAAAAGTATTCTAGTACACATTAATTCTTAGGTAATTTTATCTAATTGAATACTATTATAATTAATTAGTATAGTTAAGTAAGGTAAGATAAGCACCACCTATGACCAGTATCCCGTCTTTGACCACTCACTTTTATTTTATTTCTTAATAGAGTAAATTTTAATTGTATCAGACAATATTCCACTAACAAGTTCCGTATGTATCATGTTCGGTTCAAATTTTACTTAGTTACAACAATATAATAAATCCTTAGTAAATTAGACCATTAGTGGGAAAAAACTATTTCAAAATTGTAATTTTTAATTATAATTGGAATACATTTGTTGTATTTTTCTTTCTAAAAACATATAAGTATTATAAAAACTTGTACATTCAAATTTTTTTTAACAAATTATGTAATGGAAATGAAAAACTTCTTAAAACCATAACCATAATCGTAAAATAAATTTACTACATAAATATATTTAAATAAATTTAGTATGTAAAATTTAAATATTATAGTAGCAATTATTACAATTTTATAAAATAATAATGGCATACATATGTTTATTATGTAAATAATAATTATTATAAAAATAACTTATGTGGATATTTTGTACAATACATTTGATATTATAGTACCAAAAATAACCACACAGTGAAGTTGAAAATTTAAGCTTTATGATAACAAACAATAACGTGAACTATCGTGGTACCCAAATTATGGCCACGATATATCTTATCCAATCATATTGTTGGAAATTATACAGTTTATAAAAACTAAACAGAACACAGTGTTTTGTGGAGTACCGCCTTTACTGTTATATTTATGTATATAATTGAATTACTGTGTGATATCAATTATTATAAAAAAAATAAAGAGTACAATGACTATATAAAAGGAAAATGCAATTAAATATTGACATAAACTTCTAATGTATTTATTGTTTAGTTTTGAATTTTCTCGAACTGTAGATATATTAAATCAAATATTAATAGAAAAAAGTTCTTAAATGGCCATAGGTGGCGACTTTAACCTAACATAAAAACTGATGTCATATTTACAGAAGGAACCGGTAGAGATTGATCTGGGCCTAAAGGCTCTGTTGCTGATACTGGACTTCGCTCACAATTGGAGGTTAATTTATTATTAGAGGCCCATGTTTGACCAACCTAAACAAAATCATGATAAAAATAGAATATTAAACACGGTTTTCTTCAGTTAATTTTTATATTATTACATCCACTGAAGTGTAACAAGAAGTAGGAGCTTTTGTTTGCACTGCTGCAGGTGGTACAGATGGCCCAGAAGATTTTTTGCTCGGTATACGTTTTCTAGATTTTTTATTTTTTTGTTTACTAGCTTTATGGCGTTCTAAAAAAAAAAAATTAATTTAATACTATTCCAATACAATGATTTCAACAAATTTTACCAAAAAATTTACCCTGAAGTTGATCTAGTTGAGTTTTAGGCCCTTCTAATTTATACCCAACCAATTCACACCAACCAGAAGGAAATATATCAGATGAGCAGCAATCTAACCATTGATTAAAGTCATTTTCCCATCCATCAAAATGAACTTCTATTAATCTCCCTGCAGTTCGTACTACAGTAGCCACACATACTAAATGTGGATTCATTAAATCAGTACACTCAAGTTTCATGCCACTACTAAATTTATTATCAAGTACATCCTATAAAAAATAATTTAATTAGTTTATATTATGTATATTTTTGTAAGAATGTATTAATAAAATATATAATTCACTGGACCAGTACAAGGCTATACTATCTATGTAATAAAATTTCACAAGAAACACTTTTGTTAAATTATTGTGTAAATAATATCATACCGTACTAAAAAGGTGATTTGGAGCTGCTATATTACCAGAATTTTCTAAATAATCTTTCCAAACAAAAGGAATAGTGTAATTTTGAGGAGGTTTTAAATTTATATCATGTGCTTTGCAGAACCCTGCTGGCATAATACTAGCTGATGTACAATGATAACAAAACCAATCTTTTGGCGTACTGTTATAAAAGTCAATAGAGATCATTAAATATCCATCATTCAATACCTAAAATATAAAAAAAAATGGTATTTATGATGTTTTTCTGTTAATAAAAACGCCATTATTATTACTTTCATAATAGTTGCAACGCATATTGATGCAAGATTTAGTGGATCAATTGCTTCTAACTTCATTCCAACTTGAAATCCAAATTTAAACGGAATTAACATTGGAAAAAGATCTTCAGTAGCATCATCTTTATCGCGTAATCCTTTAGATGTTCTATCACGATATTCATCAGGAGCACATAAGTTATGACCTACTCGTCCAGCCCAACCTACTGGATGAATTAATGGAGAGTCTTCATGTACCCAAAACACTGGATACAAAATCAAAAAATATATTTATACATTCTTAAAATTTGATTATAAATGGATCATTCTTTAAAACTACATTATTGATTAAAAAAATTGTCTTACCTTGTTCTTCATTATCATAATACCTTAATTCTAATCGTTTTCCAATTATATTAAGAATTTTTGCTACCTTGACTTTTGAGATGTATTCTTTATCGACCAATTCCAATGTCAAATCAATTCTGAAAAAATCACAAAGTAAATTATTTTTACAAACTTATGTTCGATAAAAATTGTGATTCAATTTACTGAAATCTTACCGAAATTTTGACTTCAATGATTCAAATATTTTTAAGCGAAAATTTGTAGGTAATGTTCTAGCCCCTGTTAGACGCTTGACTAGATACTCTTTCCAATCACGATGTTTTGATTGAATAGCTAACCAAAATCAAGTTTATTAAAACTCACTGTACATTGTAAATATTGTTTCATTTAATACTTACATTTTGGAGGTATTAACGGTTTACCTCGTGTTGCACACCATCCAACTGGATGTATAACATTAGAACAAAGATTTACCCAAAAATCTTTTTTTGCGTCTGATCCATATCCTTCATAGCGTAATTTTGCTTTATATCCTAATAAAAATTTTAATTTATAACAATTTTAATAAAAATACTTCTCATATTTAAAAAAAAAAAAAAAACAAACCTGCAATTCTTATTATCGAAGCAACCCAATAGTAGTCAGGATTTTCTTCATTAAAATTGTCACAATCTGTATTTACTACTTCAACTTTAACTTTAACAGCAATATCATCCCAACAATCAGACATAGGCGCCTATTTATCAAAATTAAATCGTTTTCACAACTACTCCTAAACATTTTTTTTTTTTAATATTATTAACAAAACATACATAATGGAAACATTGAACCGAAGCAAATTCGTCCTTTTTGTGATCCAAATCGTCTGCCCAATCATAAGTTTGAGGAACTGGACGACAAGGTTTTCTATCTGGAGGAAATAAAGCATCTTCATCGATCGGATATATATTAAATGAAACTGATTCATCAGATTCAGATTCATGTTCCACAATATGGGGTTCAAGCGGTTCTTCTTTTATAGTTGGATCAATATAATCCACATGAGATTTAGGCTACAATAAAAAAAATGCTTTTCAAATTATAATTAATTTTAAAAACTCGAGAAAATATATATTTATATTTCCCTACATCAATTATCAGTAACACATGGTATTTGTGCAGTTTAACTACAGTAGTATGCGTACACAAAATTGATTAACTTTATAATACAAAATTGTTGTCTTTGTCTTACACACCTCATATTATCATAAAAAAAAAATTTCTTTTTATAAGATACCAATTATAATTTAAATCTTCATTAAAAATTAAACTATAATAGTCTGATATCATATTTTTTGAGAAAACAATTTTTACTATCTTAAAGACTGAAAAAAAATATGTTAATATGTTATCAAGATTATTTATGATTTTATCATAGTTTGAATACATAAACTTCACAATTCACCCCAAAAAAATATTGCAACACATTTACAATATCTTTTATATAATAATATGCTTACTAGTTACTCATCTAAAGATGGTGAAATGATCTTACATTACATCTTAAAATAAGACTCACACTTCTAAAAGTACACAAAACAACAATTTTAATATGACAAACTTTTTGTAAGCATAAGACAAGAATAACAAATACACAAATTTTTTCTTACGAAAATCAGCTCTAAAAGATACATTAAGTATTTGTTAGAAACTAAAAATATCAAATTTTAAGAAACATACCATTTCAGTAAATAATTGTTGCTGTTCATTATTCACAGAAGTAGATGACATGTCTGTTTTATTGTTAATAGTAATGCTTGAGTCTTCAAGTGTAACCTCTGATTTATTCATAACTTCAGATTTATCCATAGCTGTTTTAACGCAAGCTTGACTACAGTAATTTCTTGATTTTGTGTAAAACGAATGCTTAACACCAATTGCACCACAATTCTTACAAACAGCTATAAAAAAATTGTTTTATATATAAAAAAAAACATAACATATAAACTTAAGAATAATTTGAAAACTATAATGGAAAAAGCTACTGGAGACAAAATAAACAAAAAATATATGTATTGTCACTGCCCCATTTGGGACTAATTTTGAAGTAATCAAGTTCACAGATGAGCAGGTAATAAGTTTTTGAATTAGTAAAAGCACTAAAAAATAATAATCCAAAAGCAAAAAAAACGTAACAAAAATAAATGTCATCTCAAAACAAAAACAAATTTCAAAAATGTGAATATCAGTTGATGGCTGGGCCAAACGAACAGTCAATTTTGCGCCACTGAGGCAAAATAATTGTTGTATGATGCAAAATGGAAATCAGATATAATCTTAATGGCAAAATGCTAGTCCTTAACAAATACAATGCCTAACCTTACAATGGTTTAAATAGATTTAAAAATAAAAACCAATTATTTTATGAAAGTTGAAATATTTTAATATTAAGATTAATATTTATATTGTATCTCAATAGTTTATAAACTTATTGTGAAATAAAAAATATCAATAATTAATAGTTTACCACGTCCTTCTTTTTCAATAGGTAACATATTAGGATCAGAATCTTTTTGGTATGCGATTGGAGTTTTTAGCTTTAATGCAGGATTTTGAATAGGTTTAATTTTACGTGAACCAGTAGAGACATATTGTAATTTTTTGTCTTGAGAACCTATCTGATTTTTCTGAATATTTTCTGTTTCGTTTTTAAATTCCCATAGTTCATTTGAATTATCCACTTCTTTTTTTTGGCCGTATAACATGTAATTGTTCATTTTCTAAAAAAAAAAATTGTATAAGTTTAATATAAATGGATTATATTATAATATTTAATTCACCCTAGTTTAAATGTCAATAAGTATATCTTTAAGTAGATTGGTAAGGGTCATACTAACCAATACTATATGACCTCCGACTGACCTGTTCCAAATCTATACTTAAACTACTTACCTATATCACTAATAACAAATCCCAAACATTTAAATTTATTTTTGGTCTATACTTTAAATTATATATTAAAGCATCAATCAATAAAATATTTATACTAACCATTCTAGGTTGAACAGTTTCCGCATGTGACATGGAGTTGTCATAGAAGGCTGGATCTACAGTTGCAGTGTGTTCAGTTTGAGAATGGGGAATATAAACATTGTTTCCATTCATCCATACAAAATTCACATGATCTAGGATAAATTATTAAAAAAAAAAAAAAATGTACAATACAATAAGTTACAAAACGGTTAAATGTTATAGGTAGGTACTACTTAGCTCAAATTATTTTGAAAATACTGATTTAAATTTTACAAAATAACTACTTTTAATTGGTAACTTTACATGGGTACTAGGGTCAAAATTCAAATTGATCATAATCACACACTGCCTCTCTTCAAAATATTTCGTTCAGAGGGCAGTGATTCTCTGCGTACAACATACACTGAACAAGAGATCTGCGCACAGGCCAAATAACATTACTGCGTACAAATGCACAAACATAAAACTACATTAAACTTTTAACAGGACTAAACTATGTGATAAAGTATAGTAAAGGTATCTAATAATTATATCTATTTATTTATAAAAGTATTATGTTACATTTTAACTTTCTCTATTCTTATTTGGAATAATTGTTCATAAAAAATAAGTTATGTGAAAAGATTTGAATGTATTTAAGGTAAATTGTGTTATTGGTATACCCACTTAGGTACCTCTAATAAAAATCTTAGATTTTAAAAATGAATAATTTTCAATCTGTATAAAGTTCAATAAATAAATTATTGTTAAAACATTTAAAATTAATGGCACTCGATATTGAAACTCGATAATGGAAAATAGTTAACCTACATTTGCTTAATCTTACATAGATATTCCCTGACTAATTGTAATATAAACATTAGATATAATCAATGTTTGGGGACAAAAATACAGAATTTGATTGAAATGTATTATAATAATTTAAGAAAATAAAATTCAACCTAAAAATTATTATACAAATTATTTACCTTTATGAACAGGAAAATCCATTGTGTGAAAAATTTAGATGACACACGTAAATGAAAATGATCGTATTGCAATTGGTAAGGACATCGGATCGAAACCGAACACATCAAATGCAAATTTTGCATCGACGTGTGGATTTATTTTCTGACCAAAAAATCGATCTACCACCGAACACACGGACACAGGAATATCATTATTATTATTTTTTTTTTGCAAATAATAGACGAACAAAAAATAAAAAAAGATATAAACGCCAGCCAGTGTTTGATAAGAATTCGACTACAGGGTTGGTGGAAGAGGGATGTGCAATTTATCAGGACGAATTTATGATAACGGTGATAACGAATAAAAGGCGGTTATTCTAAAATTAAATTTAAGACTAATACAATAAAAAAAATAGTAAATCATCACTAGGACTCGGATTTTAATGCATATTCACTATTCAAACTAACCGAAATGTTCTAAAACTCAAAATACTTGTGTAATATGCTTATTAGTTACACGAATAGGTACAATTTGTTTATTAAATAATACCGTCTCAAGTGTACTCGCGTTGAAAAATCCCAATAAAAAATGGTGCATACCATCTAGCATATTTAAATTTATAAAAAATTAATTAATATATTATCTACAAAATAGATACTAATTTATTAATGTTTAAATACAAATTATTTATATTATGATTACTGCAATGGGTGAATATCAGCGCCACATTTAAGGAGGCGAAGGGAAAACGGAGGCAATGCCCCGGGTGGTAAATTTGTAAACCCCCTTAAAAAACCTATTTATTTTGATTTATTAGACGCCGCTCCGACGTCAGCACGACAATAAAATGCAAAATATGCCCCGATGCAAATGCATCAAACGTTAGATATTAATAGCCAGGGACAACTTTGGGTGTTTTGACAACCCTTATTGCTTTTTTTTTTTAGCCATAGGTAAGGTTAAGAAGATATCGCAGACCTCTAAACCCTATAACCCTCCTCCTTCCCTTTGATAAATCTTGGCAACGCCACTGTTGAACAATATTTCCGAAATTGGCTCATATCCAACGGGAGGAAGGGGGTGTTCTCATCGTGTTTGGTGAAAGAGACGAAGCTTTCGTCACTTTCAGACATAACATACGTATCGTAATAAAAACTGCTTCTTGTTGTCTACGATCTTGAAGAACACACTTATAAACTAGTTCACAACCTAAATCTGGCCTTCCTACTTTGCACGCTCTAAAGGTCCAAAGGTCCAGATTGAACAGGCTGTCAATGGTCTTTTGTTTCCTTCATGAATGTCAAGCCCTGTCGTTCTTCATTTCTCGTAGGTACTAAGCATACCAATTCTCCAACTTTTTTGATTAAAAATCACAGCGCCGTAAAAAAGTAACGGCGAGTCAATGTTACCATGTTGGCCAATGTGACAGTAAAAATTTTAAACGGCAATGCGTATTGGTGACAATCATGGTAGGAACTGTAGTGACCAGGTGCGATTTTTAATGATAAATAGTTACAAATTACAATAATAGCTCTTAGCCTCTTATACGCTATAAAAACGACCAGGATTTTGTCACCGAATTATCAAAATATTAAATAAGTGGTGACAAGCAGTGGTGCCAAAGTTCTAAAAATGTAGTCGGGCAAAATACTTACATTTCAAGAATTAAACAGCCCATTTTATGCCCAAAATTATGGTAAGCGTAGGTTTTTATTTCTGGTTGAAGTATTTATTCGGTTTGGCAACCAAACTTTGCCCCAAAAATTGAAGTGGCTCTGTGCTTAATTTTCAAATTATATGTAAAACAGACGATAACATAGAGTTCGGCGCCACTGGTGACAAGCCACCATTAGAAGTACCGGTGGCCTGTAAGTTGGTGACAGCTACTTATAGGTTGTTTTCACAGTGACACGCTTTTGTCGATTTTTCCCATCACTGTCCGTATCAATATCGCACTTGAAGGAATATGGAACGGAAAAGGACGATGAAGAACGTGTCGAACCCATCACAAAACCCAGCATTAACTGTGTGTGAAGTTAAAATCCGTTGCATTTTTCTTATATAATTAACTGATAAAAATTATGCAACACATTTCATCTAATACCTCTTATGTTGATATTTTAGTAAAATTATTGTGTTAATGAAACAACAATATTTTTTATCTGCAATTTACCTACCATCCCCACCTCTAAAACCGAATTTTGTATAAAAACATAATTACTTATTACAGGTAGTGATGTGAATTGGTAATATTATTTTGGTAAAGTTAAGTAGAGTCAGTATAGTTTATCGGGAAGTCATAAATAAAAATCAATTTACAATTTCATCAACAAACCAATAAACCAATATAGTATTTAGTTACGAATCTCTAATTCTTGGCGAGTAAATAAATTACTATTATGAATACGGATGTGTAGTTCATTTGAGAGTCGACTGATTTTTGGTGAATTGAATGAATTAAATCAGTGTGTCGCAAATCAGCGACTCCGTAATTCAGTACCAACACTGTAAATCTCAATGTATTGGGACAACCGAACTAACTTGAATCAGTCAAGTCACCACTTCCATAATCGTCTTATCAATAAGCTCAGTGTAATACTGTTGTTCCCGTAGAAACACGTCCAGCTGTCAACAATATGATTTGACTCGTCAATTGAGAACTAATGATTAGATGAGATGACTTGACGAATTGGCTCATTTAAGTGAATCGAATTCAGTGGATTGATTCATCAAAGTGAGTCGCGATTCCCATCTCCAAGTGCATGTATATTGTATTATTCGGAGATTACGCAATATCGTGTGGCGAAGTCAACGCTGTCCCGTGTAGGAGCTTACCGTTCCCCAGTAAACCCGGCGGCAGGCATCGGGCTCTCCCGAGACGTATAAATATAATTAATAAATGAGATTACGGGACAATAGTGACGGAAATTTAGCGACGCATTTATCAGCGTCCTCGACATAGTTGCCTAGTTATATCTCCTAAAAGCATTTGTAAACCACCGACATAATTGATAATAATAGTAATAGATTATTACTAATAACAATGAATTAACTTGTGGTTACATATTATAATGTACACTGTGAAGATACGAGAAAAAGTTGCGACAGTAAATAGTTTATACTTCGAAAATTATTAGGCACAAAACAGGGCGCTTGCCCAAACGTTCTTCGGATATCCCGTCGAGCCCTTTGTTATTTAGTATTCAAAGAAAATGCTCGTTGAGTTTAGCAACGGCCAATTCACGCCAGACGAGTGTGTCCCTACACAACACGAATTTAAAACATATATTATGTATAATATATAGAAACTAATCACAGGTTGTTTGAAATTCTGAAACTCACATCAGTAGAAAAATACAGATTTTGAATGGGGTTGCCCCTCTACATAAACGAAGAGATGTAGCACTGCAGTAGCAATGTTGGAAAGAAAAACACAAACGGTGACCTCGAACACCCTGTTTGATGAAGTACAAATTATTAGTAAAATGTAACATGTACATAAATTTAAAAAATGTATTTCTACATAGATTTCTCTTATTTCTCTGATTTATTGCTTTGGATCAATTATAATCATTGTATAATGTTCAATTGAAAAACCTTTAATCATAATATAGAATATGACATAGTATGCTTTTGTTGGGAATCTATTTATCTATACATTATATAATACTGGATTTTTGAATTTCTTATCATTATTATGATACATTAACCCATCAAGTCCGAAGTATATTTATTTTTAATTCAGATTTTTGTTTCCATAATAGTTATGATTAAAATTCATTTTTAAACTGAAAACGTCAAAATTATTATTCGATTTTTTTAACCCAATAATGGGGTATTTGATGTTACCCTACAGTATCACCAGAATATCAACCATTTTATAAAGAAAATTTTTCGTTATCATATGGGTTGATATTTTCAATCTTTTCACCTACAGATTTATTATCGCTTTTTAAATAAATAGGTATTAATTTACAACGGGGCTCTTTCCTTTTTTTTTTTTACTAGTACTGCCAAATCCTACTGGTAAGAGGAAAAAGGAGAACTTTTCATAAAAACAATTACAAGACAATGCAATAAATATTGTTGATTTCTGGGAGAAGAGAGAAATTTAAATACCACTGACTGACATACAAAGAACAAGCATCTTATTAATTATGTATTTTATTTTTGTTTTATTCGTGGACAATTTTTAAATTTTAAATTTTTTGACACCGTGTAAGTTTACATACTGTTATTACTCTTTTTAATGTAACAATTCATTAGTGCATTCAAACACTATTATCTATAAATGTTTGAAAATACCTATATAGTTAACTTAGTATATACCGCATATGAGTATAATATATAACTTTTAAGATTTTAGATAGGTACATAATGTTTACCGAAAATTTTAAATCTTACATAATGTTTTGTTTACATCATTTATAGACTATAACAGGATTGCCAGATTTCGTAATCCCCGAACCGGGACACGGTATTGAAAAACCTTTATTTTTCAATTTATTATTAAATAATACTACATTAAAAACGAATAATTATAAACAGACCTAGAATAGACCACTTCCGTTTTACTAGATCTTATTTGATTACCACCAAAGAACCCAAACCTTCGTGCGACGTGTGTGAAACTCCGCTCACAATATTGCGCCCATAATCGCCCACTGCACCACATTTTCGACTTCGCACCATCTCCTAAACAATCCATCATCACCAGAAGAAGCCCACAATCGTCACAATAGCGTCAATATTTTAAAATTTTTTATACAAATAGGTTTGGATAAAAAAAAACCGTGATAAAGTTGTACATTTCTCACGTGTAATGCAATAGTTTACTTATTTTATGTGTTTATGTTAGGTACTCTAGAATAGTAATTATTGTAATAATGAAGCCTTATCATAAAAAAAAAAAAAAAATACGACATTAAATGTTATTTTCTCCCTCTATTAACCGGGACGAACTGAATGACCGGCCGGAACACTAGGACATATCCTTAAAACAGGGACACCAGGACATGCACTTTTAACCGGGACGAATGGCGAGCATAATTATAGGTGACAACAAACACCTAACATAACAAATACATTATGTCGTGACACGTTGTTCTATTTCACCGTAGACATTATGTTGACACAGTTCATGTTTAAATTGAGGTTCTGGGCGTCTTGGCTCCGGCTCGTCAAATCAAGTGCAAGTTCATCTCCGACTTTTAATTGAAGAAACTCCGATGGGTTATGGCAAAACCACGCCGAGGCTGATAAATCTGTT